TCCCAAATTGCTGGGATTACAAGAGTGGGCCACCATGCCTGGCCTGGCAGGTTTAATGTATTCATACATGTCATGGCCTAGGCTGACATGATATGTTTCACATTTGAAGGATGCTGTGGCTCAGAAAAGCCTTGATAATTAGATACTTGGCTCTAGCCTCTTTCTCCTGATGTGACAAGGGAACCAGATTTCTCTGAAGGAGTTGGTCTCTGACTAGAGCATGTAATCCCAAGTCCTGGTTGACTCCTCATCCTGCCCACAACCTGGCCTTGGAGTCACCTGGTTACTGCTATGAAAAATTCCCCCAGTATGGAGCCCCTCACTGTGGGCCCTGGTGGGAAGTTCATCCCCAGGAACAAGGTGAACCAGTTCAAGATGGAAGCCTAAAAGACTGCTCATTTCTGACTTTTCAAGAAGCAAGCTTCTCTTATGAGATAATTTCTTCAAAGCCCTCAGTTCAACATTGATCATTGTAGGCTGCTTCTTTTACTAAAAGTGTCTTTCTTCCAAGTAAGGCTACCTGTCCCTCAGTCTCAGCTCAAAATTCCCCTCATCAGAGTAAAGAAATCCTCCCTTATTCTTGACTTATCTTACCTACAGTCAACCTTGGTCTGAAAGTATTAAATAATTACTCTTGCATTTAGGAGCCACTATTAAGTAAAATAAGAGTGACTTGAACACAAGCACTGTGACACTGACAGCTCATCTGATAACATGGAAGGCTACTAATGGCAATGCAGGCACAATGTTTGGAGATTTGATCATGCTACTCAGGACAATACCCATTTGAAAATTTATGAATTATTTCTGGAATTTTTTACTTACATCATTCACCTCACTTCATCTCATCACATAGGCATTTTATTGTCTCACATCATCACATGAAGAAGGGTGAGTACAGTACAATAAGATATTTTGAGAGAGAGACCACATTCTCATAACTTTTATTACAAGATAGTTTTATAATTGTTCTATTTTATTTTTAGTGATCTGTTACTCTCTTACTATGTCTAATTAAACATTATCATAGGTATGTATGTATAGGAAAAATGATAGTACATACAGGGTTTGGTACTATCTGTGGTTTCAGGCATCCACTGGGGGTCTTGGAATGTAGCCCCCTTGGATCAGGGGCTACTCCAGTCTCTGCTTGGGTCAGGTCAGATTTGGAAGGCTGCCTCTGGCTGATCAATTCCTAAATTCTATATAAATCTTCTAAATATTTTTAAAGGCACTCGAGAGAGTAGAGGTTACAGATCAGACAAGCTTGCTTTGTAGCTGGCCCTTCCACATCTCAGCAGAGCATCCTTGGGCAAGTTATTAGAACTTTGTGTGCCCATTTCCTCATCTTCAAAATGCAGAGGGATAGAAGCATTTACTTCATGAGGTTACTATAAAAGAATTCTAAGTGAACTCATGTAAAGTCTATACAACAGTGCCTGGCCTAAGTCAACATTGGAACTGATAAATGTTATCTACTATTCTCATCTAGAAGTCTGAGAAATTAGTTCACTTCCTAGAGTGCTAGTTGACTCGACAGTCTACTTTTTAAAGTTCTATTGACTCTTTAGAATTATTCTGGTCCTGGAGGAGTGAGATGGGAAATAATATAGAGCAGTGAAAGGAATCTTGCCTTTGGGTGCCCTGGAAATGACTGAAGATTTGAGCCATAGGGAATGCTCAAATGGAGGCTCCATGAAGTAGATTCTGACTTCCAGAAATGAAGGCAGGTATAGCAGCAGTGGGCTACAGATCTTTAGTATCCTACGAGCAATGATACTGGTAACTTTAAAAGGTAAAGTCAATATAGGTGCACAAAGGGAGAGACAGCAAGCTATATTTACTTGAACTATAGTTTCTCCTAGGGCCAACCTTGGCCAAACAGGATGAAATTAACTTTGAATTCCTCCCAGTGAGCTTCCAGTAAAGGAGTGTTGAGTGGATTAGGGAATGATGAACAAACAGCCCCAGGTTCAGGTTGAATTTATTTGCTCCATAAACCTGGCTTGAGTTAAATCCAATGATGGCCTTAGAGACTTCCAGGGATGCAGCAATGCCCATGTGTTTTCTTCTTCCCCTAGCTGATTCAAGGTCTACCATGAGAGAGAGATAGAGAGAGAGAGAGAGAGAGAGAGAGAGAGAGAGAGAGAGAGAGAGAGAGAGAGAGAATGAGAGAGATCACTTTAAAAAAAGTTTAGTATAGTACAGAAAAAGTCATAACTGTGTTTTTATAGTTCCATCAAGAATGTGCCACACTTTCCTTGGGGTCAGCTAGTGATTTTTATTTTTTTTTTGGTGTTTGAGTGGACATCCATGCAAACTTTCTTCAGCAGGTACTTTTTGTTTAAAAAAGTTTTATTTTTTTCCATCTGAAATGAGATGCTAATCAATTGAAAAATCTTAAAAAATTATTAACATCCTTGCTGATACAGATAGAGAAGAGATAATCCTGAAGAAAAAGTCTTTCTAGATTGTGTTTATTGAAGCATGGTTTTAGATTTTCTGAGATCTTTTTACACTGTACTGCATGTAATTTGGCACCCATAAAAATGAACTGCCAAAGTGGAATGTTTTAGTAACAATTAGTAAATTGCAACAACATAAACCTATGCTAAAAAAGTAGTGTCCTTTGAAAATGGAAATAATAAAAATTTTAATAACCCTGTCTGTGGCAGCAAATAAATATGAAATTTAAAAAGGATACCACAAAATAGCATACTTAAATTACATCTAAATAAGAAAATTAGAGTTGGTGAAAATGTACATACTCTCTTTAAAAAAATAATTATCCATTGGCCTTTTTGGCAGCATACTGCCTCAATATCAAAGATTAAGATAAAGATCAGCATTTTTTTTTCTGTAAAAGGTGGGTAAATATTTTAGCCTTTATGGGCCAAGAGGCTAAACTGAGTATAGGTGGCTAGTTATATAGCAAAAGAGAACACACATTTCCAGAATTTTAATTGATGAAATTTAAAAAAATGGCATACAATTTTCTGTAATACAATTTTGCTAAGAAGAAGAATTGATTTTTTTAAAATAACATTTTATTTAACAGCTGTTTAATATTAGTGTTCCATATCCTCTAATAGATTGTAAATATTTTTCTCTATAAACCTTTCCTAGCTGCTGGACTATACAAAAACAAGCTATTGGCTAGGTTTTGCCTGTTGGCTATAGTTTGTTGATCTTGGGCTAGGTGCCCAAGAGAAGATCAGCAAAAGCATAGTCCACAAAAGAGCAAGCAATAGTTAATCAGTAACAGCTGCTGGCTACGGCTTCCTACATATGGGTTGTGGCTGGGATCCTGGGTTTTGATAGCAGCACAGTGCACTAGTTTTAAGTAATAAAGAGTCCATCACATAAATTTGGAATCATTGTTTTAGCAGGTATTGGGAGTAATGTGAAAATGATAGTAAGCATCCTCATATAAGAAAAAGAATCTTGCATAGAGCAGTGTGAGCTGAGAGGAACCAACACAGAAGAAGGAAGAGACTTTTTGAATGGGCAAAAGAAGAGGAATTCCCTTCATGTCAGTGGCAAAGTGATATAGCCTCTTTCTCAGTGAGGAGGAACTAGAAATTTAAATCAGATCTTACCTAGAATTGTATATATTTGTGTTTATGTTAATTGTTAGTAAAAGGAATTATCACTATCATTCAGAATAAATGGTGGCTTCAGTTGTTACTTACAAATCCCTTTGCCATTTTTTATAAAGTCCTAAGTAAAGAAACTACCTAAGTATGTACATAGTATATAGAGCCAGTTGTATGTTGGCACCTAATGGAGTCAAGGTTCTGAGCTTCAAAGTGAGCAAAAACATATTAGCAGCCATGAAGCCACCTTCTCAGACTCTTCTCCAACCCAATGCTATATCAACATGACTCAAATCTGTTATATAACAATGTCTTAACTTGTCCACATTCAGGTTCTATTTCACATATGGGGATCCATTAACACAATTTTTTTTTTGGTGAGGAGAAGTAATTTATTTATTCAAAAACCTTCAATTGTTTGTGTAAGTATTTATTTCCCTTTTCATATTTTTAGTCTCCCAGGTAAAATATTCTTTTTAAGGAAAATAATTCATTCTCTAGAGTCAGACAGCTGGGTTTGAATCTTGAAGCTACTCTATGTGACCTTGAGCACATTTCTTTTTTTTCTCAGTATCAGTTGCTTCAGCCGTAAAATGAAGATGACAGTTTTTTGTGAGTTTTAAATGTTTTTTTTTGTGGGTATTTTTGGTATTAAATGAGTTAATCTAGGTAAACTGTTTAGCACATTACCAGGTAAATAGGTACTCCATAATTATGATCTATTTGTATTCAATATTATTATTATTCAATTTACTATGTTTACCACAATTCCAATATCATTTTTGACATCAAATAAGTACTTAGTTTAACAAATTGATTTGCAAATATTTATCTAACACTATGTGCCAGGCAGTATTGCAGGCACTGGTTGTGGAATGAAGAACATCACAGAGCCCTGGGACTCCATTTGCACTGCTGCAGAGGGCTGGACAAGGCCATCTTATTCTGAGTCATTGAGGTTTTGGGATTTCTGAGGTTTTGGGATTTCTCTTAGATTCTTGACTGTGGGTGAGTGGAAAGTACACCATGTTGGAGCTCTAGGATTCTCTTAACCCCTGATATTTCTTACTTAGAGTCAGAGAAAGTCAGATGGAAAACGATCTTAGATGTCAGGTACAGGAAATGCCACTTTACCCCCTAAACCCGAATCGATTTAATTTATTTATTACTTATTTATTTAATTTTAGTATTTTTTTCAGGCAATACCATTTTCAGGAACCAGACCTAGAAATGTCACACACTTTGTTCAATATCAAGAAGATAGTGCCTTTTCAAACCAGGATTATTGATTTAGATGCTCAAAAGGTCAGTGAGCTGTAAGAAAAAATCCTCCATATATGATTTTCCATTTTTCTCTGTAATTTCTTTTTAAAATTTTTATTTTATCGTTTGGTTTGACTTTAAGTTCCAAGAAACACATGTAGGATGTGCAGGTTTCTCACATAGATAAGCGTGTGCCATGGTAGTTTGCTACACCTGTCAACCCACTACCTAGGTATTAAGCCCAGCATGCATTGGCTATTTTCTATGAATTTTTCACTCATGGTTCAGTATAGTAAAACTTCCCCCAGAAGCATGATGTCAAGAATTGGTAACAGTAGTTTCTGCTGTAATTTTTCTTGTAATGATTCAATGTTGTTCTTGTATACAGTGAGGGAAGGGTTAGCTTCTTCTTGACTCTGGAGGTATGATGGTGGTGTTATTATTCCATGACATTTAAAAATGGCTTACTTGAACATGAGGGCAGGAATTTGTGTCCAATTTGTTCATTTTTGAAAGTTCAGTTTCTAGACGAGTACCTAGTAAATTACTAAGTACTCAGTCAATAAGTTCTTAGTAACAAATAAGTACTTCCAGTATTCCAAAAAGTTTTTAAAATGCAAAAAATAGTTTTTGTCGAGGCACTTTAAAATAATGCTTATTTTTATGCTTTTGCCTAAAAAGAGCACGTTAGAGGTGTCTCCCTGCAAATGCTGTAAATATGTATGCCATAGTGGTTAAAATAGGTCCAGAGACTGACTGCTGGGTTAAGCCTTGCCTTCTGTTTCCTAGCTGTGTGTCTTTTCCTTATCTTTGCACTTCTGTTCTCTCTTCCATAAAGTTGGAACAATAATCATTTTAGTACCTCTTCTGTCACCAAATTTTTGAACTAAGTTGATATATAAAGCACTTAGAGCAGTTCCTATCCCATACAAAGTACTCAAATATTAGTTACTAATATTTTAGTCTTATACTATCCCTAATATACTTCCTAGCACATGGTTTATTTTCTGAAATAATTGTTGAGTGACTAATAATGTTTCTCTATTAGAAAAAAAATGTAAACTACTTCAACATTTAGAGTCCTATTTTAAGATATTGAAAAAGAGTAAAAGAATATAATGATTAAAAATATCACCACTTGACTAGTTTAGGCATTAATACCTTTGAGTGAGAGGGTGGGCTGAGTAAATCATGAAGATAAATATAACTTTTTCACTGACCTCTTTCAGAAGCTGGAGAGCAAACATATTTCTATGGGAGGGAGGCAGTGCCTTCGTCTTCTAATCATAGATCATGTCCTCCTTGGCAGGTTCAGGGCCTTTCATGGGATTTTATTGTTTGGAATCCAACAAAAACATAGTTGAGATGAGGTCTTGGAAGGTGGCTTGTCAAGATGTATGTCTGCACCATTTTACTCTTACAACTATGCCTATGCACACAGTTTACCACAGAGGTAAGTGACTCCATTATTAATCTATCAAAATTTGCTCTCTTTCTCCCATACCAATAAATGTATTGTGGCTGTGTTGCCATTGGGCTCTGGGAGGAAAGAAAAAAGTTGAAACTGAAATAATTCCTTTTAACATTTATGAAGTTTGATCTTCCGTGCTGTGTTTGGTAATCTGGAGTCCCTGCTGTTCAATATTCCCTTTCTAGTTCCTCCTTTATAGTTATTACTTGAAATATGGACAATAATAAAAATAGCTACAATATCTTCATGATCTGCTAGGTGCCAAGTAATATACATACAATATCCATTTAACCTTTTTTACAGTTGTGCAAATAAAATATTATTATTGCCATTTTATGTATGCAAATATGAAGGCATAGAGAGGCTAATATGTCCCAGCTCACACAGCTAGGACAGAGTACATTTGGGATTCAGAGAATCAATTAAAATTATTTAATCTAGATAAGATTAAAGACAATTGCTTCTTCAGGTCACTTTGGGCAGGGCTGAGTGAGGGGGCAGAAAAGAACCAGGTTCTTCATATTTCAGGAAGAGGCCAGCACCAGTTTCTTCTCCATTTTCCAAAAAGCCAGATATTCTGATTTCTGCCTGACATTGCTTCACGCTTGGACACAATGGACTATAGATATGATGATAATATTTTTATCCCACCTGCCATTGTAACTCACTTACGGTAATGTATACTCCTTGCCCTACCACGACCCTACCGCCACCACTGTAACTGATCTTACTCTGTAACTTTCCACTGCCCACCCCAAACCTATAAGCCAACTCCTATCCCACTGCCCTTTGCTAACGCCATTTTCGGCCTTAGCCCACCTGCACGCAGGTGAATAAACAGCCATGTTGCTCACACAAAGCCTGTTTTGGGGTCTCTTCATTCAAAGCATGCATTTTTAATAATATCTATTACTTATACTTTTGTATTCTATTAAAGAGGGCCCCCCATAATTACATAATCTTCAGATCCCACAGATCTTGTATCTGCCCCTGCCAATACAGCATTTAAAAATGCACTAACTAATTAGACTCTTCACTGAATGATTGGGGACTGGAAGGATCCAGACAGGTGGGCTGGTAGGAGAGTAGCTTTGGAACTGGACTAGGACATGAACTCCTGTGCTCTGGTATAGGCAGGGCATGTCCCACATATTGTGTTGATTCCCATGCCTAACTCATACTATCATTTTTTTTTCCAACAAGCCCAGTCTAATAGGTAGCTGTCAGCATTACAAAGGAGGGAAGACTCCCCCACCAGCTACCACATCTCTTCTCCACCTCCTGTGGTGACCTAAAATATTGAAATTAGAGGCACATTCCTTTGGGTTCCATAAAGTTTTTTAGTCTTTAAGAATAAAATTAAAAGCAAATGTTTTTACAAACAATTTAATCATAAATCAATATTAAATATCCCTTTGTCCCAAGGTTTAGGAATGTTGATGAGGATGATGATGATGATAGTCTACCAATTTCTGAACATCTATGCATCAGGCAATGTGCTGCACAGTGTAATGTGCAGCATCTCAGTCAGTCCTGCAACAGGAGGAAACTGAAGCTTAGAGGAGGTCATGCAGCTCTAAGTGACTGAACAAGAGATTAAGGCACAAAAATAGTTAAATGACAAATTAGGACTCAAAGGCTTTAAAATTTCAGGCATTTCCCGATTATGCCTTGGGCTAGCCCTTCCCTTTGCTGTTTTCCCCAATTCTAGTAAAATGCTGATTTCTACTTATTTTAATCACAAAGAACAGAGAAGAATATATTTTACATTATGTAGGGTTTAATGAATTAACCCCTAGGCAATAAAAATATGTTTTCTCCAGCATAAGAAACAAATTTGGGATTAAATGCCAAATGACACCTGCATTGCAGCAAAAATCAATTGCCAAGGGGAAAAAGGTTTGCAAGACAACTAGAGCTAGGCAGTTAAACATTAGGGTTCAATGGTTTGAAGTGTTTAGGTTTTGCAATGGTGTGGTTTGGAAGCTTTCCAGCAGAAAAGCTATTTTCTTTTAAGAGGATAACTCTCTGTAATATTTTCTTTGCTGAAATAATGTGATCCTTAATGACGTCTTATATGACCCAAACTTTAAATAGACCCTATTATTTTAGCTGATCTCATTCTAACCAGGTTTTTACAGGTCAGCCATGAACTATCAACAGCTTCCTGATAATTAATCCTACTTACCCAAAAAACTGTTAGCCTGTTAGCCTTATCTATGCTAAGAGGAAGCTTTTCTATGTACCAGACTTCCTCAGTGAATAAAAAACAAACTGACATTCTGCAGAAAGGGCCAACATTGTGAGGTTTAAGAATGAAGAAACAGATTAAAGATTATGACGCTGCTCTGTCTTCAGCTCCTAACTTGCTGAAATTCTGTGGTTCATCTGGCACAGGAATGGCTTTACAGTGGAGTCAGCAGTACAACTACTCAGGTCAGGAGTGGCTCTCTGGATGGCTCTATCAAAATGCATGGACATTCAACATATGTATTTACCTGGGTGTCCTGGATTGATAAACAATGGGGGAAGATACCTCAAGTAGCAACTAGAGTTGTTCCCACTAGGATTTAATTTTCTGCCATTAGAGGCTCATTCCTTTGACTCTGAAGAGCTCTAAGAGTCTACCAGTAAAATACAGCTGCAGTTTTTGGATGTCACCTACCCTAATGCAAGACTGGTATTTGGTAAAAGGAGGGAGGAGAGGCATGCTGTTAGAACTGAAGCTGTCAGGACTCCAGGAAGAAGAAAGGTGATGAAATTGCTTTCTTTATTTGGTGAAGGGAGTAAGGAGCTCATGCTGGTCCCATCTAGCAATTTGTAAATGGATTGTTTGAACACATGGGTCTTAACATGTTCATAGATTGTGGGTGTGTGTTTGTGTGTGTAAAATGAGAAGGCTTATTATTAGATATAGCCTCATGTCAGCATAGTATAAAGTTCCTCTGGTAAGGACATGCTTTATAATTAAAGGATTTCTGCATCTGCTAAAAGGTACATCTGCATGTACCTTTTCTTTCCAAGACAAATTTCTAATTTTCAGTGATGATTTATTATTAATCGGTTTTCTCATCAGGTTAAAAACATATTCCAAAAAGCAGTTTAAATCCAATGTGCTCCAGTACATAAAAAGAGACTCATTAGATGATCTTTTCTAAGAAAGGTCATTTTATGTTACATAATACAAAACAAAACATAAACATGACATGTAGTCCATTTTCATTTCTCACTGTGGCAATGATGCAAATTTTTGGACATGTTGTATGGTGGTGACTTTATACATTAAACTGAGCAGAGACAGATTGCATTGGGAAGTTCAGCAAAGCTAGAATTGGAAACTCAGAAGCCCAAGAAACATTCTCTGGGAGGCATGAAGACTGAGTAGACATAGGATTTAATATTTCCTGCATGCAACTATTTGGAAATATTCTGGACTTGTTTCAACTTTGCTAGATATATGTCAATGACTCAGAAAAGTCATGCTCAGCAGAGAGGTGAGAGAATGGCCTACTGGTGACCATCAGGTTATGTTTCACTTTTTAAAACATGTATCCCTCAGAAAAAAATGGTGGGTTACAAGTCATTTTCCAATGTTAATTGTTCAATTTTACTAGATGTTTACTATGCTTAAGTTATAAATTTTTTTTAAAGAATAGGTAGGACATAAACACAAAAATGTGATAATAAAATACATTACAGGACCCTGTTTCCTCTCTTTTTATGTCTCTCTCTAGGAGACCTCTTCCATTTCCATGTACCTGAAGGCATCTTTACTTTTTTTCTGCCTCCACAATCACCACTTTAGGTCAGTACCTTTTTGATCACTATGCAGAGTAACAAATTCACTGCACAGTATAATTCAGTACTTGCAAATGCATACCTATATGCACAAAAATTTGAGAGGAACTGTTATGAAATAATGTGATGGTCTCTGATGTTTTCTTTTCTTTTTCCTTTTTTTTGAGACAGTCTCGCTCTGTTGCTCGGGCTGCAGTGCAGTGGCAAGATCTTGGCTCACTGCAACCTCTGCCTCCTGAGTTCAAGCGATTCTCATGCCTCTGCCTCCCAAGTAGCTGGGATTACAGGCATTGCCACCATGCGTGGCTAATTTTTGTATTTTTAGTAGAGACAAGGTTTTCCATGTTGGCCAGGTTTGTCTCAATCACCTGGCCTCAAGTGATCCACCTGCCTTGGCCTCCCAAAGTGTTCTACAGTATGAGTTGTGCTGGGCTGATGTTTTCTTTTGTACATTATTCTCTTTCACTGATATTGTGTGTTAAGACCACTAAAATGACTGTATAATCCTGACGGATTGTGACCCACAGTTTGAATAGCAGTAATCTAAGATAGCATCATCATTTGCCCAGATAGCTGCAGCAGTCTGTTAACCCTTCTCTCTTCTCCTATTTTTTCCACATGAATTCTGTTATCCCATGTAGCAGCAAAAAGGATTTCAAAAGAAAAATCCAATCATGTCACTCTCCTGCTCAAAGCCTTCAGTAGCTTCTTACACTTACACTAAAAATCCAAACTCTTTCAAACGCCTCACCACAGCCTACATGATTTGACCTTTGACATTCTGTTCAGCCTAATCTCATGTCATCTCTCTCTTCCTCTGCATGCTCTGGTTCCACAGAACACATTTCAGTTCCTCCAGCACAAGAGATTCTTGCCTACCTGGGTACAAGTTGCTCCTTCTGCCAGGAACACTCTTTCCCTAGCTTCTCATGACTGGCTGCCATTTGCTCTTTAGTTTGGTCTTATTTTCTCTATAAAGACACCTTTTTTAACCATCTCAGTTACAGTAGATCATCCCCTATTTTTTATTTCACCCATTGTTTGAACACTTACCACACTTGGAATGATGGGAAGAAAATATGACAGCTGGAAAACTTTGACCAAATAACAGGTAGGAAGGGGGTGGGTAGAGGACTCACCGAAAGAGATAGTGAAGTCTTTTGGGGCTGGATGTGTTCATCTTAGAATCAAGGACTTAAAAGTTTGGAATTGTAACTTTATGCAATGTAGCTTGCCTGTAATGGCTGCTTTTTCATTTTGATTAATACCAAATCACATTAATTTAGAAAATTCTACATGCCTCTACTTTGCTAAGAAGGAGAAAGGAAAGGAAGGGTTTGGTTACACATATGCTAACAATTTTTTTTTTTTGACAGGAAGTATTGGTGAGCATAAGAGTGGGCAGCACAATGGAAGCCCTCCTGAGTGCAGGACCTGCCACTTGTCCAGGGAGCCATGACTGGGGATGTATTTGACCCCACGGCCACGTAAGATAAGCCACTTCTCAATTACCATGTCTTCAAATTCATCCACATTAAACTTGATAGAGCCCCATTCTTTGAGATGTGGCCAGGCAACTTGAACTTGACCCTGTGCAGGGACTCAGTCACATCCTCCTTGTTTTGTACCTTGGTATGGATGGATATGATGACTTGGCCAATGTAAATTCTGGCCATGGTGCCTTGGGGCTTTCCAGATATACTCTGCACACCTATCTGGAGCCTACACTGGGAACAGTGCAAGGTCGAAGGTTAGAGGCATAAACATACATTGGAAATGGCTGTCTCCAAAGTTCTTTAGAGCAACCCATACAAGAAACAGCTGTGTATATGACAAAGGAGGCTGTTTGCAGCCATCACACCAAGGCCTTATGAGAAAAAGAGTACAGCTGGTTTAATTGACTGCAGAAGATGAATAATTTAAAAAGTCTGCTGGGTCCCAGAATTCGTGATGACAGTGGTAATCAGAGTGACCGAACTCTAGAAAAAGGCAGTGGTCATAGAAGAGTGTCAGAGATTGCTGGTGAGGTCAGCTCCCACCAGCTGAAGGTTCTCTTTAAGTTGCTTTCTTGATTGAGAACTCACAGGGTTTTATGTGGTGTTTTAAAAAGAAAGATATTTCCATCCTTGAACCATCCCTTCTCTAGCTTGGAGGTCCTTCCTGTGCTATAAAGATCACAGATAATATGCTGGCTTTGATACAAGGGCAATACTGTTGAAGGGGACCTGCAAGCTTCTTTGTCCTAGGGATTAAAAGTCCCTATTTTTGCCCCAGCAGTTCCAAATCTACAAACACATATTTGCACATGGTATCACTCCTCAGCAGCAGTCAGTTGGGAGGATACAGATGTAGGATATATTATAATAGTTGTTTTTAAGTTCAGGTGGAACTTAGAATCAACCAAATTTACATTACGCTCAAACTGGATGCCCTGAGATAACTCCACAGCCTGAGATTGAGACCATCATTTGAACCCCCACGGGCCTGATTCCTAGAAGAGACACCTGGTTTTTGCCTTCTCTTCTGCCTTTGCTGGTCTCCATGCCTAAGCGTTACCTTCTATCCACTCCTGCAGATGAGTTAGCTGGCCTTGAGTGCCTACAAATGACCCTATTTATATGTTGCAAGACATATTTAGCATGCGCTAAGGCATACTCTAAGGCATATTTACATATTTACATTCATCTAAATACTGGCCTGGCCTTCTCTCACAACCTTGGGTTTATCCCTTCTCAGCTCAGCACTAGGGGAGTGCTTCTTCAAAGCTCTAACATGTACTGTGAGTGCTGTTCCCAATGGTTCCCATCTTTCCGCTTCCCTATAATTCCTCAGGATGATTTGTGCTATTTTTAGTTTTTTTTTCCAGAGTCTCAACCTTGAAGAGTTTACTATGGCCACGTGAAACTAAATATGGGCTACTTTTAATGGGACTAATTGTTATAAGTACTCACAGGAAGAATCAATTTCAAGAATGAGAAAAAATATTCATTCCCAGGGTCCTGCATCCTACCCTTGGTCTCATGATTTAATCACTTAATTTTAGAATAATGCACTCAGCTGTTTCCATGTCAGCCACTGACTTTTCCCAAGCAACAAATAATAAGGAAGATGTGGCCTTAACTAACATAACTTTGCCATAGGTTAAAGCATCATGGACAGCTGACCTCTAGTGCCTCTAGATCACTGGAACAAAGCCAATTTCTTTCTCAGACCAGGTTTCTTTGATTTGCAATGTATTATAAACAAAGTGAATTGGCTATTTTGGGGCTTGGGTTTGAGCTGTTACCTAAATCTTGACTAATCCTAGTTTGCGAGGTTCTGCAACAGATGCCTGCCTCTGTCTCTTTCATTCTCTTTCTCTCTCTCTCTCTCTCTTTCCTTTTTTTTTTTTAAAGGAATATCTTTTTCTGGAACAATGAAGCAGATAAGAAATAATAGGAAAGCATGGAGAGTTAAATAGCATTTATGGAATTATGAGGATCATCCACTGACAGGAAGAGCAATAACACAGAAACAGACTTCAACTGGCAAGAAACAGCAGGTCACTGCCTGCAGGGGATGACCAGCTCAGAAAGTTGACTGTTTCATGTGTTTGGGAAATGTAATCAAACACAGATGCTGAACCAACGTATGCTCTAATGATATTATATCTGATATCTTCTACTTAAAGTTCAATTTCCTAGAGCAATTAAATATATTAAAATATTTTATGGTCATTTATTAGCCCAAACTGATTTTTAAAAACACAAAGTGGCATGAGAAGGATTCTGTGTTTGAGAAGGCCACATTCCTTTTCAGTGAGATACTATATTTGTCCATAGCCTTAGGGAGAATAATTTACATTTCAATTTTACAAAATTAACATTACTATCAGTTTTCAACTAGGTATGCAAAAGCCTTTAATTATAAGTGGAAGAATATTTGTGGGTTTGTTAATATTGAATGAATTCCCTGTATTTATTTCTGCTATAACTTAATAGCCAATAGACTACAAGAAATGCTGCTGTCAGGGAGGCTTTTGTGGGAATGAACTGAAGAAAGAGGCATAATTCTATACAATGGATGGAAGAACACTATATATCTCAGATTTCTGAAGACCTAAAGAGATTTCAAATAGACTACCTCTTTGTCCTTATAAGGATATTAGTTGTCAGGCCACATACTTTGATTTTTGATTTAGGATATATATTCACTATACTTAAATGTCCTAAAAGTATAATAAGAACAAAAGTCTTAGTTGAAATGTATGTATGCTTATTATTGTAGAATTTGAGTAAGTAGTAACACAACATTCTTAGAAAAGGAAATGGTATGTTTTAAATTCTGCATCCCATGTATGAGAGCACAATTTGCAATCTAAAATTGATTAATTTTTAGGTATCACTCGATTAAAAAACAGAATAGTGGTGGAAGCTTCTGAAGTATTTCCAGAAGCATTAAAAGACAAAACAATAGATAGACAAGTTAAATCTGCAATAAAATCCCATTAATCATATGTAGCTGAGGCTTCAGAAATAAGTCATCAAATAATCACTGGAAACTTTGAGGATTTTTACTAAAATTTTAAAGCTGATTATATTCCATCTGCAAATGTTATACCCTTAAGTAAAGAGAGAACTTTTGTCCAAAAGATAAACAAAGAACATATCTAGGCTATTTAATCTAGACTATTTGCTAGGTGATTTTTAAGTAACCATAGTTACCAGACCTAAAGGATTTACAGTAGGTGTCTGTTGCAGTGGTGATGGCACTAGGCTGATTCAGCAGCCATTTATTATTTGTATTAATGAATAGGAAATGAGAAAGAAGATTTATGAAAGAACAAATAATCTAGGGGCATTAATGAGCACGCGTGTGCACATACTCTAACTTCCCAAGGTGGCTGTGTTGTATAGTGTCCTCCCCAACCCACTCTCATTACTGCAGCCCACAGGTGGGGGATGGGGGGTGTGCCCTATATTAAAAGTGGAGGGGAGTCAAAGGCCAGGGTTACTCACATTTTAGCGCAGTATGAAGTGCAGTTTGTAAAGCCTCTGGGTAATTTGATCAATACAGGCATTCAAAACCTATAATGCAAGTTCCAGAGTAAATGTTTGGATCAAATTGATCTTTAATTAAATTTACTCAACTAAAATAAGTAAAAACAAAACGTTTAGCCAGATATCTGGCTGTTGAACATGATGTATATAAAACATCTAAATAATTAGTTTGTTTTTCAGTTTTTGAATTCAAATGTCTGCTATCTTTAGACTCAAAGTGGATTAAGAATTAGTCATGCTAACTCAATTTCTTTGATTTATGAAGAATGTGTGACTCAAAATAGTGACTGATCCAGTATGCAAAGGATAATTACTTTTATGTCACAAATATTCTTATGTCATTCCTGCACTTGGTCTAGAGTTATGATATATGTATATATATAAAATGAAATAAAGTGCAATGTACCACAAAAACATAATTCAAATATTATGACAGTAAATTTGTTTAAATTTTTAGAATATTTACATAAACTCATTCAAATATGCTATCATAATAGCATATATAAATAACTAAAGATAAATATAATTATTCTTAAAGTTATCATTTAATGATTATTGATTTTGCTTTTAAGATAGTGAATTAAAAATACATACACTATTCTGCACTACTCTGAGCATGGACTAAACTCAGTCTCGAGGTATTTCCAGCTCTCTGGAGTATTTAAGGTGCCTGTCTCATGTCTGAGTACTTTGACCTTAACAATCCCTGTAACCCACAGAACACAGATAATGTTTCAAGACACATCCAGACTTGCAGAAGACATCGACAAGACATAAGTGTTTTCAAGAAACATTTCTTTTTTAAAACACAATAACACAATCTATACCTAGTCAGTGTGAGGATAACGAACTACTGCTCACAAAGATCTCATGATAAGTAAATAGAATGGGATGTGGCTGCTAAGTTAATGCCAGTGAATTACAAAATAAAATTCTTTGGAATTTCAATACAAAATCAGGTAGAAATTGCTGGGCAAAGAATATTGGGTGCCATATATTTTTTCCCCTTTTAAATATTTTAACATTTGTGTTAAGAATAGAATATCACTTTTATGCTAATCAATTATCCACTTCCATAAGTAATTACGAATTTCGAAACCTAGAGAGCAGTTCTTCTATTACCCTTTAGGGATATCTTACTTATCTAAACTATCAATACCCAGCATTCTTAATTATGTGTCACTCAAAATTCTCTTTTAATTCCCAGCTCCCCTGCAGGAGTTGTAGTTTATTGGAAACTGATCTCTTCCAGCCAGACACTTCCACGGTTCAAATATCACTAACTTTCATAGCCTTTGTTCTCCTCTATAGCTTCTTGACTAATGCCTAATTTACTAGCATCTTGAAGCTTTTTCTTTTATTAGAAAAGAAAACGTGAATTTCTTTTATTCTATATTGGCAGAATAAATTCTGGCATCTTAGTGTAACTTCCCATAGAAAGTCTACAGCTAGTTTCCATAATTACACTTAAGAATCTCAGGGTTTTTAAAGTAGTCATATTTATCTTCCTAGAGTCTGGTTTACACAGTTCTTTTTAAAAAATGTTTATCATCTGAGTAGCTTCAAGAGAAACTTTTGTTTAGTTATTATGTTTTGTTCAGTTTTTCAGACTTTCTAAGACAGTGTTTTTTTGTTTCTTACCAAATTCTATAGTAATTTCTCCCAAACATCAAGATAACATTAGTTGTACTATTTAATTTGTAATTTGTTTGGCAGAAGATAATTTTGAGGTCAAGGAAGGAAGTTAATAGGAAAAGATAAAAACAAGTGATGGTAGAAATAACACTAAGAAGGTTCTTTCAAACAAGCATATATGCATTATTGAAACTATGTATGGTTTATATATACATATGAGTAAATAGGCCTTCTGCATCTGCCACAAATTGATATGGCAATTACACAGTTTCTGAATTTAGTATATAAAAATGACGCTAGCAAAACAAGTATCTATCATTTTTAAACACCTCTCTGAAACACTAAAAGCTCATATAAAAAATCAACTATCAGTAGCCAACAAATGTATCAACATATGTTGTAAAGATAAGCATTGGCTGAAAATATATCAAGATGAGCTGGATATAGCATACCCATAAAATATAGCCTTATGTTTTACAAGTTACCCAAGTATTTTTGGCTAAATTCCTTCTAGAAAAGAGGAATAATTTCTTATTCTCCCCTTGTACCCTTCACAAACCTTACAGTTTCCACAAGTAAAATCAACACTTTGTTCAGAGCAGTTATACATATTCCAGCACAAATTTACAAAAGAAAAAAATTGTAATACAAATATTACTGCTTACTTATTGATCTTTGATAGTTTTTGAAAATATGATGTATCTAGTTTACATTTTGCCAAATGAATGTAACTTTTGAATTTCTCTTTTGTCTAGAGTAAGGAAAACAGTCTGGTCCCTGGGCCTTGCAACACGGATTGAAACGGCAACATTTCACAGAGATGTCAAAACAGGAAGAACTTCTGGCATAATTAGCACTGATAATAGCATAAAAAAATACTAGCTAGTCTTTCTAATGAAGAATCCTGTTAAAGGACAATCCATATCAAGTTTGATTGTAAGACTGATGATGTAGGTCTGTCTGACCATATTTGCTGCTTGCATATTAAATTTCCTAAGCTCATTAATCTGTAACTGTGAATGGAGTTTTTTTTTTTTTTTCACTGAGACAGAGTTTCGCCCTTGTTACAGGCTGGAGTGCAATGGTGCGATCTCGGCTCACCTCAACCTCCACCTCCTGGGTTCAGGCAATTCTCCTGCCTCAGCCTCCTGAGTAGCTGGGATTACAGGCACGCGCCACCATGCCCAGCTAATGTTTTGTATTTTTAGTAGAGACGGGGTTTCACCATGTTGACCAGGATGGTCTTGATCTCTTGACCTCGTGATCCACCCGCCTCAGCCTCCCAAAGTGCTGGGATTACAAGCGTTAGCCACGGTGCCTGGCCTGGAGTTATTTTTTATGTGGTCAGATGCTTCAAATAAACACACCTATCAATGAAATCTTAGGCTATTACACTTATAGGATATTCAACAGTAGAGTAGTGATGCTTTATATCATGTCCATAGGTGAGAATGTAGCCCCTATAAAAGATCCTCTGTGTTGCTACAGTATCTTTTTAAACTTAGCTGTTTGGTGCTGATCATTTAAATGCACTCACACAGATGTAAAAGTAAACAGTGTGGTCAGAAGAAAATGGTTTTGCCCACGATGAAGGCAACTGAATCTACCTTTAACTTTCCTATAACTAGCTGTGTAAATATAGGGAAGATCATCTAGCCTTTCTTCATCTTTAAACTTAGAACTTCATGCTGATCAGAACAGTTTTAAAGATAAATGAGACAATATAGAAGAAAACAGATTGAAAAGTTTAAAACTATAAAAGCTAATCTGTTGATTACAAATATTATACAAATAATACGTTGGATGGTTCCTAGATTGTCCTGTGTGACTTTAGGATGTTGTCAGTCTTCCACATGTTCTGAGTAACGAATAAACATTTTAAAAAATTTTCTTGAACAAACATAGGAAATGTCACATCACAAGCACCATTTCTCTGTGAGAACAGGTAATTTATTTTCTCAAGTGAGTTTTAATTTTTACATGAAACACTTTGATCAGCTGCTGTTCTACAGACACTAACTGGACAGCAGAGAGACGTCCAGTTTACTTAGCGAAGAAGACATATGTGTGTGCATGTGCATGCAGTGTCCCAGTGGTTTCTAGAATTACTGGGATTTGCTTCACAAAAGCAGCAAATGGGGGTGGGGCAGAGAGGGGTGAGGGAGTACTCAAATTCCTCACATTGCCACTGCTCTGCCTGTACCACAGGGTGCTTCCAGAAGTACATGCCACTTTTTATGGAAAGGTTCCAAAAGTAGAAGCGGTAGAAGGTAGAAAAGAGAGAGAGTGGAGAGGGTTGGTATGGAAAGACCAAGAGCAGGACAGGAATATGGGGGAGATGGGCTAGAATGCTGTGAGACGGGGAAGTAGCAGGCTTAATGGCAGGTTTTTTTTTTGGTGATGGTGGTGGTAGGGGGTGCTTTTCTTTTCTCTCTCTTCTTCTGGTTATGAACTTGAAGGAATAATTTCATATTTGGTGGCTTCCCATCTTCTGAAACAATTTTTGAGAAGATAGGAAGCAGAGGAAGAAGGGGAAAGTACCACTGCTAAGTGAACTTGGGGCAGTCTTCAGACACCCCACTGTGTTTCAGTGTGTGTGGCATTTCTTGCAAATTCTTCATCAGGTGCTAGCTTGCTAGGTCTGTGCTGCCACAGAGGTCATTCGTGGCTGCTGGGGAAGAAGTGCCCATCTGCTTCATCACATTATTGTAGATTCTGGCACTCAGCAGTTGTTTCAGGATAAAATCCCTTGGTCTCCAAAGTGATGCCCAACCTGAATGTCCAGAACTTGGAAAGAAAGAAGAATCAGAGTGCACTTCCAGCTTAAGTTTAGGTATAGGAGGAATATGAGAAGACTGGGAGCTAGCCAAGCCATAGAATATTAGGAACTGACATGCATGGGTCTGAACCAAAGCTCTGCAATTTCTCTAAGTTTTTTAACCTTCTTGTGCTTTATCTTTCCTATGGAGATATAATGTGTAAAGCTCTGGTTTTTAGAGAAAGTTGAGAAAAAAATTATGTATATAAAATATTTAGCAGAGTTTCTGGGATATAATAACGAATTCTATAATATTAACTATCATTAAGGCCAAAGCTGAACATTTTATTTTGCTAAGTCCAGATTGACTAATAACTTTCAAAATAAGATGAACTAATTGTGTTTCTTTCTCAAAACTGTATGTAAAGCTTTTCTTTAAGACTTTCAGAATAAGGACTTTTTTCTGCTCACTTACAAAGCAGTTAAAATTTATGCTGTCCATATTTCAGTTCTGTAGTGGTCTTAACTTTATCAACTAAGAGCTTCATATTGCCATAGGTGTTTTTGTTTCTTTCCTTTTAAGTGGGGAAAAGTAAATAATTTACCAAACAGGTTCAGAAGCTAAAGTCTGGGGGAAAAGTTTGGCAACTTTGCATCTAAGTTTAATCTAAAAGTAACTGTTGAGAAATATCTTAGTTGTAAATTTGTTTGGAAAATATAGACTTTCCCAACTGATAATTATTTTGGCTAGCTAGAAAAAAATTAATGCTTTAAATTGCAGAATCTGTAATTTTATGAAAGGATGAATATTTTTTCCTAGAATGTAAATATTATTTCAGTTTGAAGAGAGGAAGAAGTGGGAGAATGAACAACATATGCTTTCATTCAACAATATGTAATGATTGGCCACTATGTATCAGGCACATATTAATCCAGTCAAAGATTAAATTGCCCACAAAGGCATTGCCAAAAGTAAGATATCCCAGATGGCCCAGTGCAGGAGGCAGTAGGGTCTAAATTATGGTTGGGAAGGGGGGAATGTTTTGTTAAAGGTTTAAGAAAGGGTCAGCCACAAAGCACTGGATGCTTGGGGGAGAGGAGACCTTGACACACTGTGGCTGGGATTATCTTCTCCTCCCCACAACAGCATTAGCACAACAGCAGGCCCTGCAAGTCCTGCTTCATGCTGTGCTTCCACATCTCAGTTGTACCCTCCATTTCTGGAAATGGCCATGGGATCAGCCTTTGCTTGGGGGAGGGTCCCCACCTAAAGAACTGGACTCTGGTGGCTGTTGTCTGTGCAGTGTGGCTGCACCCTTGTGTCAGGATCACCCTGACAGTTTGCCAAAATGCAGATTCCTTCAGTCCTACAGAACGAAATCCAAGGCATGCATACATAGGTAGGTGTCCACCAGCTCTAAGAGTCTTCTGCTTTATTTTTACTTTTTTGAGGAAGGGTAAAATTATAGTAAAAAATACTTGTAGTAGAGCTAATCACACACACACACACACACACACACACCCTTGATTTTTTTAAAGTGCAGTGTGTTTAATATATGATCTATTACTTTGGCTTTTTTTTTTTTTTTTTTTTGAGACAGTCTTACTCTGTCGCCCAGGCTGGAGTGCAGTGGCATCATCTTGGCTCACTGCAACCTCTCAGGTTCAAGCGATTCTCCTGCCTCAGCCTCCGGGGAAGCTGAAACTACAGGCATGCACCACCACAGCCAGCTTTTTTTTTTTTTGTATTTTTAGTAGAGATGGGGTTTCACCATGTTGGCCAGGATGATCTTGATCTCTTGACGTTATGATCCAACTGCCTTGGCCTCCCAAAGTCCTGGCAATACAAGCTGAGCCACCGAACCTGGCCTGGCCTTGTTTTAAAAAGGCGCAGAATTTGTACCGGCCTTTGAAGGAAACATTTTTAACAGGTGTTTTTCTTTTCTTTTCTATTCTTTTTTCTTCTTCTCTCTTCCTTTCTCTCTTTTTTCCCCCTTTTCATATCTTTCTCCTTTCCCTTCCCCTCCCTTCCTTCCTTTTTCTTTTTTCCTCCCTTCCCTTCCTTCCCTCCCTTCCTTCTTCCTTAAAGCTTTGCTATTTATGCTTTTCTTGTCTTCCAATAAGAAGGTACTGGTAAGCTACAGACCACTTATTACCCCGTAATGACCACTAAAGAGCATTCACAGCCAAATGGATTGGGTTTCTTAACAACTTCTTGGATTCTCGTTTCTAAATCCCTACGAGATGGAATACCTTCTTCTTGAAGATTAAATGAGGTATTATGTTAAGGAGCTAAACAGGTTATAACTCAGATGTGTTCCCTAAGTTCCTGGTACTCCCATAAACCTTATCTCAAGGCACTACCAATCTCAATCACGGGAGTATACATATCCTCTCTGAAACAAGTCTCCAATTCGACATGCTTCCCTTTGTAGATAATGCTCTTCTCCTCTTTCCCCGACTACTGAAGGAACATCCATTCTTTCAAGATCTAGTCCAAATTGACACCCTTTCGGGTGTCTCTCCTAGTTTCCTAAGTCTTTAGCCCACCACGCTCTTGTGTCAGAATATACTTCTCTCATAATACATATGCAACTGAGCCATAATCATGTACCTAGGTGCCACGCCCTCTAGACTATGTGAAATGTAGTCATTCTTGAATCTTCAGCACTTGGCCTGTTGCCTGGCACGTAACAGGTGACAAAATAGTCTTATATATTCATGTGCACATAAGAATATGCATATGCGTATATACGTATAAAATGCCTGGTTAAGATAGATTCATGCACAGAAGGCCGGTCGGGGACCACATCGGTGTGCTCTGAAGGAAGCGATGGCCCCTGAGGACAGGTTAGTGGTCCTGGAGTCCGCAGGCGCACCTCAGTGCTTAGGTGCAGCGCTGAGAGGACGGCCTTTGCCATGGGGCCAGTCGGGTTTCTCCATTTTGGGACGCAGCTCGGCAGGACACCAGCAGGGGGCGGCGTCGTCCCGCAGCTGGATGCTCCACGAGTGACACCCCCCCAGCACCCCACCTCTCATCTCCAAGCCCCGCAGCTTCAGTGATTAGGCCGGAACTCCCCCAGTTCGGAGGTGCGGGCTGTTTTTCTTCCCAGGCTGGGAGGGCAGGGCTGAGCAGGGTTTAGGGAGTATTCTGTGACCCTGGCATTTCCCCCCTTTGCCCTACTTTAACCCCCGGCAGCGTCTAGGCGCTGGGAAAGCTGCTCAGGGTTAGGTGACGGAGGCTGTGAGCGGCCAGAAGAGATGGCCACAGCTTTCTAGCAAAGACAGTGGTGGTGGCGCGAGTGAGCGTGGGGAGAACCCTTAACTCTGTCGAAGTAACTGAAGCTGTAGGGGAGAATTCGTTTTATTCCTGAAACTCCTTTTACCTCTCATGGGAAACCAAATAGTATTCCACGGACACAATGATGCACTTAAAACTGCCAAACCTTAGCGGGCCGCGAGGAAGACACTTCGCCGCTTCGGGTTTTCTAAAAAAGAACGCGCAGCAAAGCGCTCAACAGCAAGTAGCCCTTTCCCCCGACTCCGGGGCCCTGCGCACTCCCCGTGCGCGCTCTCGGCACCGCACTCGGCCCGCCCCGTCCTCTGCGATTGGCTGCTCTCCGCTCCGTGACGCCCCCCGGCCCCCGCCGCGCACCCGGCTCCTCGGGAGCCACTCCTGTGCAGGAGCCGCGCACGCCCGCGGCCTGGGGTGTCGCCCCCGCGCCTTCTCTTGCTAGCCAGGAGCTCCCTGGCGCGCCTGCCGAGGTTTCGAGAATCGAAATCCGGTTATCAACAAGCCCTTCCCACTCGCGCAGCCGTGACTGATTTGCGTGCACGAGTGGACTCAGGAGTCCACGCTTGGATCGAGTTTGTCAATGGAGTAAATGGTCTCAGCTAGAAATCGACATTTAAGAGAGTTCGTGAGGAACCTCCGTGAGAAACCTCCGAATCTCAGCCGTGAAGATATAATGACGGGCAGTATCCGCG